AACTCAGGAGGCGGAGGTTGCAGTGAGCCAAATAGCACCACTGCACTGCAGCCTGGGCAACAGAGCAAGACTCTGTCTCAAAACAACAACAACAGCAGCAAAAAAACCCACCATGTGACCTAAAAATGACCACTCTGAATCAAAGCATTTAGTGCAGTAAACTGATAATCCCTCAGCAGGACTGCAAGACTGAAAACTACAGTCTTCCTGGAGCTTTCGTATAAACTTCTGGAAGACAAGCCTCTCATTATCTCAAGAAGAAACTCTATCCACCAACGTTCAGACACTTAAAACGACCTGGGACCAAGGCAAAAATCGCATAGGGAGTTACAAACCAGCAGGACAAAGCACAATACTTTACCCTAATCGTGTCCCAAACCAGGAAACTTCCCTCTCTTAAAAAAATACACTGCACAGTAGCTAGCCACGACTGCTGCTGCCTGGTCTCCTCAGAGCTACGTGCGCATTTCAAATCCTGAAGACCTTGATTAAGGGCAGCTCATCTCCCTGTGCCAAGAATGAGGGAATCACCTGAAGTCACTTTAAATCTTGGTTTCCCTTCTTTTTTAAAAAAAAACCCTGTAGCCTCTGAATGAACTGATCATCATCCATTTTCAGAAGAAAAGAACATTGTTCGCCAACAAAGGAAAAAGAATTTAAGTCGTGTAAAGTCTTCTTTACATACAAAAAGGTCACCAGCTCCAGGGAGCAGTTCCATGGCCTTAATGAAGACTTCAGTGTGCAGAAACAAAAGACCGACTGCATTAGGCCAGAATCCAATTGTATTTCTTTACTAGTAACTGCATACCTACCTCTTTTCCCTTTGAGTTTTGTTCTCAAAAAGAACTTTAGAAAAAAAAAAAAAAAAAAGGAAAGAAAATCAGGTAATAAAAAGGAAGTCTTAAAGAGACACACTCTGGTTAACCTTTTCAACCGACTGAAGAAAATTCAGGGAGTAGAAATACCAAGATAGCAGAAGTCTGAGCAGTGGGCTGCTTAAAAAGTACCTAGCTTTTGCTTTGACAGAAAAACAAAAAAGTCCAATAAATATGAAAAATGAATCTGTTTAATGCTAACAAAGATTATAGCTGTTGATATATGCCAACCCTTAGGGTGCTATCATAAATGTTGAATTTGCATGAAGTTACTCTTTAGTTGAAAACATTTATTTGTGTCCATAGGATTGGAGGGCTCTAGGAGTAAATAATCCATCCAAAAAAAAGTTTTGAAATCCATTTTTCCAGATCCTTCAGTTAAGCAAACTCTTGTCTGAGTTATAGTATCACCTTGGTGCTCTCTTTGGGAAGGGCAATTAACTACCTTGTGTCCTGAACACAAAGGAAGCATCCATTTCAGCTAACTATTCTGTTTAGGGTAGTTATTTAGGAATTACTTTCACTGTTTGCTTCTTCCTGAAATTTTAAATACAAATTGAGGGGTACTTTCTTAAGAATTCAGTATTTTTTTTTTTTTTTTT